AAGATCGTTGTAAGCTCGAGGCCAGCCTGGGCTACAAAGTGAGCTCAAGGCCAGCCTGAACTGCATAGCACGACCCTGTCTCAAAAAGACAAATAAATAAATAAATGCAATGAATTGATATGAGACTTAAAAATACATATATTTTTTGTTATCTCTTTAAGTCCATAAGATATGTAATGCTGTCCTATTTTTTATTTGTAAAGTAAAATTTAAAATTAAAAAATTTCCCAGGTGTGGTGGCACATGCCTTTAATACCAGCACTCAGGAGGCTGAGTCAGGAGTATTGCTGAGTTTGAGAGTTCAGAGCTGGCCTGCACTACATAGTGTGTTTAGGACCAGCCTGAACTATATAGCAAGACCTTGTTTCAAAAAACCAAAAAAAATTTTTAATTAAAAATTTTAAAAGTTAAAATTAAAAATGTTAACATTAAATTTCTAAAATAAAATAAAATTTTATTATACTAATATTTTGTGTTTTATCTCTTTTTTCTTAGTTATCTTGGCTAAAACTTTATCAATTTTATTGATAGTTACAGAGAGCAAGCTTTTGGTTTTGTTGATTTTTTTGTCTTTTTTGGGGGGCTTACTGGGAATTGAACTCAGGACCTCCCACCTGCCAGGCAGGCACTATGCCTGCTGATCTATATCCCCAGCCCTTGTGATTTTCTCTTGATTTCTCATTTTTTATTTCATTGATTTCAGCTGTATTCTTATTTTTTATCCTCAGTTTATGTTGGATTTCATTTGCTCTTCCTTTTCTAGTTTCCTAAAGCTAGAAAAGAAGCTTCGACTACTGGTTTTCTAATATATGCATTCAATAGTATACATTTCCCTTTACGTACAATTTTTACTGCACCCCACAAGCCCTGATAAGTTATTTTCGTGTGTGTGTGTGTGTGTGTGTGTGTGTGTGTGTGTGTTTGGGGATTAAACCTAAGACCTTGCATGTTCTAGGCAAGTGCTCTACCACTGAGCTACATCCCAGCCCTTTTTGTTGTTGTTCTTTTAAATCTAACACCCCGTCTGCTCCGCCACGCCACACCCGTACCGGGAATCAAACTCACGACCTTGCGTTTGCCGGGCAGGCGCTGTGCCGCTGAGCTAAATCCCCAGCCCCTGTTGTTTTAAATATTAAAACGGTCTTGCTACGTTGTCCAGGCTGCCCTTGAATTTGTGATTCTCCCCGTCAGGCTCCCAAATGACTGGGGTTATAGGATATAATCAACAAAAAATCCACAAAACCAAAAGCTTGCTCTCTATAACATTCAATAAAATTGATAAACTTTTAGCCAAGATAACTACGAAAAAAGAGATAAAACACAAAATATTGGTATAATAAAATTTTATTTTATTTTA